AGAGGTTCCTGAAAACTCTTGGACCTAGAATTTAAGCCTGTGAACTTTAGACCTCATGGAAGCTATAGTCACAGGGGCTCTGAAGTTGAGAGTGGATCTATGGAAGCTCTAAGGAAAACACAGTATTTATATGCAGTTAGATAAATCTAAGTCTGATACAAATGGTCCTTTAATTTATACTCTTATTTAGTAATCAGGGGTACTGTATATTCATTTTCATTTACCATCCCTTAGTTAATAGAACATCTGCTTAGTTGCAGAACAAGCATGCTTCGAGGCATTTCCTTTTCTCTCCCGTGGCTGATTTTCTACCTAGATGCTCATTGCATTCCTCATTTTCAAACTCAGAAATTCTGGATGCCCCTCTCCCTGGGGCTCCCTACCCCCACTTACTGCTGACTCTTAGATGTCATCACTGTGTAGTTTTGAGTCCCAGGTGTGCTTGCGTTCACCTTCTTGTATTTTTCCTATGGCTTCATTCTAAAAATCTTTATTCCTGTTCTGCCATTAGCTTTTACCTTCCTCTCCTCTTGCCAGCCCTAGCTCCATCTTTCTCTAATTATCCCCCACAGGATTGAATCATAGTTCGTGCAATTTGCATATACTGAAACTGAATGAAATTCTTGAAGTTGCCCCAAAGTACACATAGGTAAATTTGAGAATATGCAAACTCAATTTAAGAAGATGTAGATATGAGAGGTTAGTATAGTATCCTGCAAGTGCCTATGAAATATGTCCCTTCTTAAACATTCTTTGTATATATACACCTCACACCCATGTATATAAATAACATTTATGCTAAGAAGAACTTGTAATTGTTAAGCTACTCAAGAACTTTCAAAGCTTTCAACATAGTTGCACTATGTGCACTGTGTGCACTATGCACATAGTTGCATAGTTTCAGCAAAAGCATTCAGTGTGTTTTTTGTCAGTGGCATAATCAATCAGTTATTGAGTACCACTTTGGGTTTGTGAACAAATGGACATATTTACAGCCTTTTGGAGCCTGATTGGTTCCAAAATCAAAAAGTTTCTTGGGTGTGCCAGCACAGGAGTTTGAGATCATAGCTAGCAGTCACCTGATAATTTCTGAAGCCAGATCTGTGCCCCAGTCTCCATTCCTTGGGCCCTGGGGGTGTCCCAGATGGTGTGGGAGTGCCATCGACTCTCCTTTACGCTGCCCAGCAGGCAGTCATCAAACATTGGAGGAAACAAAAACAGCTCCTTACCAGAAAGAGGTTGAAGCTTTTGTTCTGTGAGGAACTGCATTTCCTATTAAAACCTTGGTTGTTATATTGTTTTTAAATTTATTATTGGGCTTTAGTTTGTGTTTTTATCTTTTAAGAAAGATTGTATGCATTGACAGTGTGCTACATTCTTGAAATTTTTGAAAGAAGCAAGCTGGAATGTTTGGATTTCCATGTTGTTTATAGAGTTCTCATCTCATGGAAGAACATCCAGGAAGATAGTTTAGCAAATTTGGGATTATTTCACCCTAATTTGGTAGTCCATATAGTGGGCACTTGCAGAGTTTTCCTTCTAATCGTCATCATCATAGTCAAGATTTATTGACTGCGTATTCAATAAGGAGTAGTTGGAGGTCTGTACTGGTTTCAGGAATACTTGGATGAGGCATGTGAAATAGATTCAAATATTGAGATGCTGTTGTAACAGAAAAGAGCAGAGTTACTGCCGTAGTTCATCAGAAATCAGGAGAACTTTTTTTTGTTATTGGCCTGAATGGGCTGAAGTTCAGAGTAAGACTGTGGTCATTATTCATTACTTCTTTTCTTTCAAACAGTGAAACTCTTGGGTTTCTGTGGACAAGGCTGCTTTTTAATGGCATGTTCTCTAAACAGCTGTTAAGCACCCCTCCTCCCCAATACCACAGACCACATCTGTTCCCACTGTTGATTAGCTAGAGGGTGGAGAAAGAAGAGAGGCTGTAGCATGTGTAATTACCAGTAATTAATTCTTGTTGAGCCTCCTCATTTCCTTCTATTCTAACTCCACCTACTCTTCTTCCTGTCTCTGTTGTAAATTCTATTTCATGTTGGCTACTTGTGGAAAATAATCTTGATGGGTATACAGCTGTTTTCCTAAAATTTTACATTCACCTTACAGTGAAGCTTTTATTTTTCTTCTGGTGGCAAAATCTCTGGATAAGGCAAGATAGATAAGAAAATCCTGAAGTAAGTGAGCATAGCTCTCGGGGCTAGCTTTCCTGCTTCCTCATGTTCTGTTTCTGTTGATACTATTTCCAACTGTCAACAAATATTTATTGAATATTTTGTTTCTTAAAGGAACCATTGCAAGGCATGAATAAGTGTGAAGAAAACAATTGTAAGATATAGTCCTGGTCCTCAATGTTAATGTACAATGTAATTAGAGACCTAAAATATGTCCACGGAAAAATCATGTTTAGTTAACTTATAATAATTATGCGATAATTGCCCAGTTGTCAAGACCATAAGGTGGAGGTAGTGTTCTTTATTTATGATAGTGTTCACTATTTTTCCTTCTCTTTGCAATAAGGTAAAGCTAAAGGAGGTAGAAATTTGAACGTTTTAGTTAGTATGTCACAGTAAAAGAGATATACCCATAGGCTTGCTCTTTAAAGAAAGTTCATGGTATATCTTCCTCTCAAGTCTTAAAAGCCTAGATCTTCAAGATGTGATGCCTCTTGGGAATGTGTTTTTAGGAGAATGGGGCTTCAAGGGGAACATTTTAAAATTGCTTGTTTCTAAAATGTAAAATAATTTTTAAAATGTATTTCCTGCCCCAGTAGGAAAGAGATGACACTGGGATTAATAGGATTTGAAAAGGGATTATTTCCCAAAATGGGGGCAGGATCCAGCAAAATCACAAGAGAATTATGTGAACTCCGGGGCTCGTTATAGCAGGGGTGTTAAACTCTCCGGTGAAAAGGACTGAGAGGGGGAACATATACCTGACCCTGAAAAAGGGCTTTGGGTGAAGAGGGCTTTATGATTGCAGGGGAATGGATTTAGCCAGTTCCTATGTGCCCCCGCAGGGAAAAAGCCAGGGGTATCAATAGCCTGTTGTCATTTCTCTCTTGATCTATGCAGTGTTCTCCATTAGCCATGCTCATATGGAAATTAGGGGACAAGGGATATAGTCCATTAGGTTAGCCTTCTCCCCCACCAGAGAGTAGAGTGGAGAGTGCAACAGGTTGGGAAAGGGAAAGCTATCTGGCCCTTTGTAAGTTTGCCTAAGCATGGAAAATCCGTCTTGGATAACATAATCCTATGCACTAACTAGTCTTGGCGACCAGTAGGCATATGTCTGGAATCAGTATGCTTTATGACAGATCAGTCACTTCTCAAGCATGTGCACAGGGAATCATTGATAGAGGTTAGTGATTTTCACCTGGGGGCGATTTTGCCCACCAAGGAAAATGTGACAGTGTCTAGAGGGCATATTCATATTCATATTGGGCTTTGTCATTAGGATCTGGTGGAGGGTAGCAATGGTGAAGGGGAGACAGTGAAGTGCCTTTTCATTCTGTCAAGATAGGTGCCCAGGTGATTGATAAGGTATCTAACCTAAGGAATGGCTGTTACTTTGGGCGAGGAAAGACTACTAACCTTTGAAAGAAAGATTGGAATTGAGTCTGAGAATGAAGCTACAAGACAGCATAGGTTTTACACATTGAACGTGAGGTGGGCGGGGCAAGCCCTTAAAAGATAAAGAAGAGAGACTGTTGTGGACAGTTGGGGTGTGTGTCGCAGGGTCTTCAAGGGCATGAACTACATTTTGTCTTGTAAGAGTTAAGCACCATGTTTTGAGCAGTACAAACTGCATATTTGTCAAGTGAATGAGTACGCTGACTTGAAGAGAAACCGTAAGGAACAGAAAGAAAGGCACTAGTGGGAAGGGAAAGATGAGAGGTGCTGGGCAGGGAAGAGGTGAGATTCTTACATGAGGGGAAAGATACTGTGGATTACAAAGAAACGAGAGAGCTAGACCTTAAAGGGCATCTTGGCTGTGCCACTAAACCTCACAAGAGCCCAGGTTTCTGGACTTTGTGTCTGTCCCTGACCTGGACCCTTGGACCTCACAGTTTCCTTTTTTTAAGTTGCAGCACATAGGGACAAGGATGTTTAAAGGATGCTTTCAGAAACTATACGTCCCATTCCTCTTTTATCAGCACTGCCCTCCCTCCCTTTTAATATCAGAGGCACTATTTCCTGCATGGACCTAGAGCTGCCTCTCTTTCTGGACTCAGCTCAAGACTGAGGCATGCCTCCAAAGGGAAGGTTTTAATAGATCACTCCATTGGTGTGGGACTTGGTGTGATTGGCTCAGTCGTCCTTTTCTTATATTTCTGCATGACAGCTCTTAAGTCCTGTTCCTTTCGTTTTCAGACAGTGAAAACTACTTAGTTGGAAGCGATCACATTTGTCTTTTTTTTAAATTTAAATTCAATTAGCCAACATATAGTATGTCATTAGTTTTAGTGTCGTGGTCAATGATTCATCAGTTGAGTACAACATTTGTCTTTTAAGTTCCTTAAGGGCAGTGACATCTTGAAATGTCCACGAGTAAGACTCATCAGCACAGGTACAACAATGGTCTGCAATCCAACTTTATAGCCAGTCTTGTAGATTTTTTTTTTTTAAGTAGACTGCATGCCTGGCGTGGAGCCCGACATGGGGCTTGAACTCACGACCGTGAGATCACGACCTGAGCCAAGATCAAGAGTCAGACACTTAACCAAGTGAACCACCCCTGCACCCCGCCAGTCTTACCGATTTTTTTTTAAAAACAGCTTTATTGCTACTAATTTCACAAACATGCTTTTGCTGTCGCATCATGAATTTAAAGGAGGCACCACCATCTATGCATACTCAAGCCAAAAGTCAAAGATTTATCTTTGATTTTTCTCTCTTCCTTACTTCCAACATCTCAACCCTTAATGTGTCCTGATTCTACTTCCCGTCCTGTTCTGCTGCTACCACCTTATCCCTTTCCCGTAGTATCTCTCCTCTGGACTGGTACTTCTGCTCCTCGCTCGCAGCTGTCATTCCAGTACCTGTAAGAATATTTATCATGTAGTGGAAGCTCCATATGTGTTAAATAAATGAACTGTGAAAGTTATTATTGATGGAAAAAAGAAGAAAGTTACCATGATGGGTAAGATTCCTTTCAGCCAGCCAGCAAACTCACCAACCTTTAGACCCATCCGATCGAAACTACACATTGTCTCTGTGATGATAATAATAGTGGTCACAGATTTGTTAAGGCTCATCTGTTTTTTTCCTCCCCTCACCTGTGACAGATGGTTGGCACTCATTTTTTAGGATGATATTCGAAGGGTTTATAAGTGGCATTGGAGCCAGCAAAACAGGTCGCTCCTCTTTGGCGGTCTCTTAGACAGATCAAGAGTGGCCATCAGTATGAAATACACCAGGTAACTCCATAGACTGTTTGAGGACTGATTGGATGTAACTATGAAATCACTACAAGTTTTGTGGGGGAGGCTAATCTTTTTGGGGACATGACCCCATTGAGAATCTTTACCCAGAAAAATGTGCATATATACATGAATACAGAATTTTATAGTCCATTAAGGGGGTTCATAGACTGAGCTGTAGCTCATAGCAGGAGTATGTGTAGTTTGAAAATGCATCTTCAAAATGATGTCGTTAGATTTGAGATAGGTTAAAACATCTGTTTTTTAACATAACCTACAGGAAGTAACATGGCAGAATATTGGCAGATGGGGATATTGCAGAAAAGAGATTTCTTTTTTTCTGATACTTGGTATCACAGCAGAATCTTAAGGGGTAGGGAATTGTGAGGGTTTTGTTTGTTTTAAAGATTTCATTTATTTGACAGAGAGACACAGCAAGAGAGGGAACACAAGCAGGGGGAGTGGGAGAGGGAGAAGCAGGCTCCCCGCGGAGCAGGGAGCCCAATGCGGGGCTTGAGCCCAGGACCCTGGGATCATGACCTGAGCCAAAGGCAGACACTTAATGACTGAGCCACCCAGGCGCCCCTCTTTGTTTATCAAACCAAAAAAATGAGGAATATTGGCTGGTTTTGCCTTACTCTTTTGTTGAGGAGGCAGAGGAGCATGGAACGTAAAGCTCCCATTGCTACAGACCTTGTGTGCCTCTTTACTCGGAGCGTGGACCGTACACAGACCTGCTTCGCCTCTGTGGGCCCAGCAGCCAGTGGGTGGGGAACAGAGGGTGGAAGCAGGTGGTCATAGGGCACAAGATAGGAGAGAAATTTCTTCAACATCTGCCCAGGTTGAACCCAGTGCTCTCCGCCCCCGCTTTTTCTTCTTTCCCTGTTTTAGTTTATCTTGGCGTCTCCGTTAAACAGACACCCAGCAAAGGAGATTGTCCTCTTGGCTAGAAGTTCTTGCAAAAACTTGACTTTATTTTTTATTCCATCTCCTTTGGAGTTAAGGAGAGCTCTTATTTCCACAACTTCCAGTCATGCATGGTTTCTTGTATTCCTAATGTTTTCACAATCTGAAGCTAGCTTGTTTTTGATGTCACTAAAGCAGAAGGTATTTTGTCCTGCTACCTAAGCAATAAAAGCAAGTATGTAATGCTGTAGTACCAGAGTTGTGGATTTTTTTTCTCCTGCACAATATATTAACTAAGCAGAAAATTTAAAAGAACAAAGACAATAAAAGTAATGTTTGTTAGTGATAGTTTGAGATATTTCAGGAGAGATGAGATGTGAAGAAAAGCAGTGGCCATATTTAGAAAGCTGCCTCAAACCCAAGAGTATCTATTGAAGTAAACTTGATGACAGACTTTTTTCCTCTTCATGAATCATTGTATTCCTATAAAAGCGAAAATTCCTCTTCATCTAAACAAACGGCTTCCACATCTGTTTTCTTGGTTTCTCAAAAGGGTGTCTTTGGCTTGCATTTTTTTTAAAAGTGTTTATCTGTTTAAAATGAAATATCGTCAAAAGCAGTTTATACATCAAAATCCAAGTTGGTCTTCAGCTTCTAAGAATTAGTCAAGAATGATCTGGTGGTAATGGTGGTGGTGTAGGGAAAAAAGAACACATTCTGTATTCTGCATTAGGTAAGTTCTCTCTCACTCTTTAAGTCTCGTTGATTTATATTTCAGTTTATATTTTTGTGTTCCGTTGAGTCATGCTCTTTTGGCTCTGGGGACTGATCAAGTAGTTAACTTTGTCATTGGTAGCCCATCCCAATATTTTAATGCTCTGGGCTCTGAGTTCTGAAAATACATATTTTCCAAATTAGTAGCTGGGGAATTAATTTGTTAGTCCCATTGACTTAAGAACTGACCTATAGTGGTATTGTTTTTTTAATCCCATTACCAATTTCCCCCCCTCTGTCACTGAGAGAAACACACTCCTAACTGGTGTGTAAAGTGCCATAGGCACTTTTCTAAAGCCCTTATTCAGTTTGCAGTCTCCTGTGAGTCTGTGCACCCCTCAGGGGTTTTGGTTTTATCTGTTTTAATCTTTAGCCTCTTCTTGTGTGACAGGCCACCATGCCCTTGAGCCCATCTTGCCTTTTAAAAATAAAGAATGAGGAGCAGCTGAAGTGCCAGCTCTTTTGCAGCTGACAGGAATCTGATCTACGGCTTGGATTCTTTATCTGGGTACCGGCATGCCAATGATGTGTGGCTGGCCTTAGCCGTGCCATTCGCAGTCACAAGGTTTAAGAGGGTGGGAGCAGAGGAGCTTGTCTTCAGGAGAAAGAAAGATGTTTTTCTGTAGGGACAAGTCGGGGAGAAAGGCTGTGGATTGGCACATGGGGTCCAGCTGCACGGCATGGGACTCCCGGCTGCTGACCGCCCAGGGGGATTTCTGGGCCCCGATCTAGGCGGTTTTCTTTCAGGAGGCTGTGCAGGCCTCCTCCCGCCCCCTGAGCTACAGCTGTCTGTTCTGTCAAAACAGTAGCTTGCTCTGAGGTCAAAGGTCTGTGAGAACTGAGACATTTGATGTTATCATAACCAAATCAGCAACAAAGGCAATTAATTTAATCACTTATGACTTAGTTTCTCTCAAAGAGTGTGAAGAATGTTATTTGGAAACTGAGAGGAACCCCTCCTCCATAGGTCCTTTTTTTTCATTTGGACAAGTATGAATTAGAACTTCTTCACAAATGGCACCAAACTTGCCTTAAGAAAGAACGAACTGCCTGCCCCCTCCCAGATGCAGGAGAGAGGCGGGAAAAGGATGGCTATGCAGGAGCTATAGGAGGCTCTCATGGAGTGAATTGATTGATGTTCAGTCTTCCTCTTGAGCCTATCACCGCCTCCAGGAGGGGAGCCACTGCCTTTGGCTGTTGTGGTTGCTCATAAAAAGACAAGGTGCTCCCCCTTCTTTGACCTTGTTTGGAGGGTTAATATACTTATTTGTAGTAGGCATTAGCCACCTGTTGGGATCGGTCTCGTGAAAGGTCAGTGTGTGGTGCCTGGCTGTCTGTGGCAGCCTGCATCAGATTTTGCCAGTGGCTGCTGGTGTGTGTGACACCTGCTAATTGTGACAGAAAGAATGGGGATCTGATAGCTGAAAGGGACAGGAAGGTGCTGGAGGAGGAATGAGCGATCAGGGGTCCCATGGAGCACCATTACTGTGGTTTGCCTTGTCTCCCTTTTTTCCTGCTGCCCCTTGGTTGAGCTCTGCTGTCCATTTCGATGGATTCTGTCTGCATGCTGACATTGCTTTGATTTATTCACTTGTGCATCTCTGTAGAGCATTGGATTTCTTAACACCTGAAACTTCTCACATCCCCTCTGAGCATCTTAGCCTCCATCTGCCTCCCTGTCTTCTCCATTCACATGTCCACAGGCATAGCATATTCATCACTTCCAGAACCGCCCTTAGGGTTCTGCTCCCCAACCTGTTCCCCTTCCTGGATTCCTTGTCTCAGTGAGTGACAGCACTGTCGACCCAGTTGTTAAGCCAGAAACATTGGTATCATACTTGACTCCTCTACTTCTTCCTCGTGCCCCAAATCCAGCCAGTTGCCGAGTCCTATAGATTCTACTTCCTAAATGCCTCTGACTCTCCAGTGCAATAGCTATTGTGCTACGTAAGCTTCATTACTTCTCCCTGGATGCTGCCTCACCGCCCCCCACCCCCCGCCCTGGCTCCTAGGTATTCTCCACAGGTTTTATAGTCAGAGACCTCTTTAACTTGTCAATCCAGTGGTGTCACTCCCCAGTTTAAGGTTGTTAATGTGGCTTACAAGACCTTTCACAGTTGGGCCTCTCTCCTGCCTTCTCCCTACTGCCCTGAGCATTCTAGCCTTAACCATACTTTTTATTTTTTCTTGTTGCAAAAAAAAAAAAATTCTATAATTTTTTGAAAGTTGAATGTTGTTTAATCACCATTGAGAGTTTCTCTTTGTCCTTTGGTTCCTCCTTTGCCTGTTATTCCCTATAACTCACCTTCCCCTTATATACATTCTGCTTCTATCAACTTTTCTCTAACTCCCACCGCAGGGGCCCCCATTCTCTGTGTGTGTCTGGGTATATGTATATGTTTTTCCCGTTGCATATTTGGTTCTCTGCTCCACTAGATGTTATACACTATAGAGGGAAGACATTGTGTCTCCATCATTTACTTTTGTGTTCTGTTACACCTCGCACATGAAAAGTACTCAGTAAATATTTGGTGAGTGAATGAATCAGTTCCTTTTTGAGGTTCTAAGTGACAGGAAAATTATAGTGCTTCCTACAATTCATATCAAATTCTTGAGCCTTGGCCAGGTTAGACAGCAGCAGTGCAATGAAGGCCAAAAGTAAAGGTTTATATTTTTTTTAAATCATAAGGAGCCAAATCCTGTATAGTCTTTGCATTGATATTTTATCTTCTTCATATTCTGCACCTCTATCCTAAATGACTTTTCTCAACTTGATACCTGTTGCAGAATTTCTCTGTATTCTTCCTGGAGAAAATACAGAAGGTGATGGGTTGGGAGGAAAAGTGATGGATAAATGGGAAAGCATTATCTGATTGATCCTTAAATATATTTGTTCTAGAGGCATGCCTGAACATGTGTCTGGGACACCTGTGTCTCTGGACAGGTGAACACAATTCCATTTCCCTAAAACTAGACCATCTTTCTGTAAGATTTTTCTTTGAAGCAGGAACCGTCCATATTTTAATCATAGCTAGTTCCTAGAATTTGTTTTCTGAACTTCTAATAAATGGGAGGGCAAAGGACAGCATTTTCTAAAAAAAAAAAAAAAAAAAAAAATCCAGGGTTCCTTGGAGAAGTAGTTGATTCAACTTGACTGGGGCAAGGAACATACAACATGAACCTGGAACATCTCACTGATGCCAAACAGTAAAGAGGTGCTCAAAAAATTACAGGAGTCAACCTGAAAAAATTCCTAATGGCCTAAACTGAAACAATCGGAGCAACAAAATAATGCAGGTATTGAATTTTAACCCACAGAATAAAATACACATTCATTAGTCCATACTGATATAAATCAATAAGGAAGTAAATTTGGGGAAAAGACGCAGCTCTTACAGTGGAATTCCAATGAATTCCAATAAATGGAAAAGAAAAAAGGAAATCAGGCAAATACTACAATAAAAACTGTTGCAAACAAAATCAGCTGATGGATGCTAAAATTAATTGGTGAAAGTCTGAGGTGAAATAGGACTTGCACAGTCTCAAAGAATCTGCTCCAAGGTTAAGGTGGCAGACACCACCTTAACCCAATGACCAAGGTTGCCACGCTCAGTAATAAGCAACATCAACCTCATTAACCCCTTGATACGAGAGAAGGACAGGCACAACACTGTTTCTGTGGTAATTTTGCCAAACATGTATAAGCTTATTCCAATCATGAGAAAACATCAAACCCAAATGGAGGGAAATGCTACTAAATAATTGATCAGTCTATTCAAGAGTCAAGATCATGAAAAACAAGAGAAGACTGAGGAATTATCAAAGACTGGAGGAGAATAAGGAGAAATGATGATGGAATGAAAGTGGGATCCTGGAATAAAAAAAGGAAAATAGCATGACAAACTTCTAATTCAATTACATTCTATAGTGTAGGTAATAATATTGTGCCAATGTGAACTTCCTGATTCTGATCATGGTACCATGGTCATGTAGGATGCTCACATTAGGGGAAGCTGGGTGAGAGATATTTGGAAAGTCTGTATTATTTTTGCAACTTTTCTGAAGGTCTGAAATTATTCAAAATAAAAAGCAAAAAAATTTCAATGCCAAAAATGGGAGGGGACCACTGGATAAGCCAGGACAGGACTAAGGCACTAACCGTTCAATCCTACTATTTAGAATTCCTCGTCTCTGTTACTGTAAGAATTACGTTTCCCTTTATAAATGACAGGAATGGATTCCATTCTCAGATAATGATTTGTTTATTCTATTGCAAATGATGGTAATTCCTTTTATTTCTTTCAATTTTATAAGTAGATTTATTTAATGGATTTTAATCTTAAATATTAAAAATTGCTTTTAGAGAAATTATATTTCCCAAGCATGTTCAATTTTCTAATTTTGGAATTTGCCTCTAATTATATTCAAAACTTGATTATAGCCCTTCTATCAAATGCCCTTCTTTAAACTATGTTTTTCAGGCGCCTGGGTGGCACAGTCGGTTAAGCATCTGACTCTTGATTTCAGCCCAGGTCATGATCTCAGTGTCGTGATACTGAGCCCCACATTGGGCTCCACACTGAGCATGGACCCTGCTTAAGATTCTCTCTCTCCTTCTCTCTCTGCCTCTCCCCCTCCCACTTGTTCTCTAAATTAATGAAAACATAAACTCTGTTTTCCCCCAATTATAAAAGTAATACACGTTTACTGAAAAACATTTAGAAAATGCAAAATATAAAAATAAGCTTCCAGGATAGTTTCCTCACTTCATTTTTTCCTAGAGGTTTCATAGCTACGTCAAATCGTATACGTTGAAAAAAAAAAAAAAACAGAAAATTTACTTATTTCTCTAATTACCATGCATCTTGTAAAAATGGTAACAATTGGAAGAATTTTTTAAAGTAACACTTTTAGAATGTTGGCACTAAAACAAAATCATGAAAATAAAAGTATAAGAAGAACATTATCTTGTTGGTTTGTAGTCTGGGGCTGCTCTGAACTTACGCTGTACCTTTTAAATTCTTTTTAGAGAATTTCACTGAAAGGATAAAGCATGTAGCAGTTTCTAAACCTCCGTTCAGAATTCTCCGGCCAGCGATGTTGTGGTGTGGGTGCAGAACCCTCCATCTTCAGGTCCAGCCTGCGCTTTCAGGGAGCGCTGGTTACGGCCCGCTCCCACCTGAGCTCCCAGGCTCGCCCTCCGCTGTAGGGCCCGCTCTCTGGAGGAAGCATGCATCCAATGACTGGCCCCTAGCCTCAAGCCGGCATGACCCTGAGGGCCATGCTGGCTGCAGAGTCCCCACGGGACACACAGGTGCTTTCCAGGAAATCTGAGGGTTTCCCAGGGAAACTGACCTAAGAAGTGGTCTCATTTAAGTAATTCACTTTATACCAGTTTTTGTAATACAGTAACAAAACAGACTGAATGCTACAAGTCCCTACTTTAAGTCCAATTCTCAAATGGTTGGGTTGGGTTTGGGTTTTGTCAGAGGGAAGTATAAGAAAGAACACATAAGCATTAGAGCCTGAAAGTATGGGTTCCAATCCTTTACATAACTGTGCCCTTGGGCAGGTTACTTAACCTCTCTGAGCTCCAGTCTCCCCATCTGTAAAGTGGAATGATAACAGCAAATGAGCAGTGTTACTATGAGGACTTTATGAAATTCTCAACAATTACCTGCTCCCCCACCCTGCCCTGCCCCACTTTGTTAGAAGTGGGGACAGAAAGAGACTAAAACAGAGTCCCTGTCCTTGAAGAGATCACAGTATCATGGGTGTGGAAGAGGGTCAGGAATGTGGGGACAGGCCCCTGGGCCATGTGACGCATGTGATGGGTGCCGACCCAGCGAAACACACGACACGCCGCAGCAGCTGAGCAGGGGAGCTCTGACGCCGGCACAGGCATCTGGCTGGGGGGTGGGGGGGGGGCATGTAAGCTAAGGCATGACAACCTTTCTTCAATTCTTCACGAAGGGAGGACAAAGGGCATTGTAAGCAAAGTGAACACATATTTAAAGGTAGGAAGTGCTAAATGTTCTATATAGTGGGTCAGGAACACGAAGTCACAACAGTTGAGCTGAGGTGTGTGGGGTGGTGGCTTAAGGCAGGCAGCGGATGAGTTTTTCAGGTATATGAAGGAGTGTGGGTTTTGTTTTCTAAGGGATAGGAGCCACTGAAGATTTTAAACCAGGAGACATCATGATCAGATTTGGATGTTAGGTAACTAGTACTTCAGGCTTAAGGTGGCACTTTGAAGCTTTCTATAACAGAATTTTCTTCCTCTAACAGTTAACATCAAACTAAATAAAAACAGAAAGAAATGTTCACCAAAAACACAAATGAGGGATACCCTGATATAAAATTTAAAAATTAGTGATCAAGGAAAGAAACAAGATTGTGGATAAGGCCAGGCACAGAAAGGCTCAGCTTCTAATTCCTTTCCCCAAACTGGTAAAACGACATGAAGCTTGAGAACGTTACTACCCATAAACCTAAAGGAAAGCAAACGGCCTGCGTCTCCTTGCCTTCTTCCTCTTCTGATCAGAAATAATGAAAATGGCCGCAGGGGAAGCAGGTGACCAGGAATGACTGACAGAAGTGAATGTTCCAGGGTTTAATGGGTTGAACTGTGCCCCACCCAAGATGCTAAAGTCCTAACCCTCAGTACCTGTGAATGTGGCCTTATTTGGAAACAAGGTCTTTGCAGATGTAAGCAAGTTAAGATGAAGTCATTACGGTGGGTCCAACCCAATGTCTTTATAAAAAGGGGAAATTTGGACACAGACACGTCCATGGGGAGAATGCCATGTGAAGACGAAGGCAGAGATCGGGGTGATGCACCTATAAGCCAAGGAACACCAAAGAATGCCAGCAAACCATCGGAAGCCAGGAGCAAGGCACTGAAGAGATTCTCCCTCACAGCCTCAGAAGGAACCAACTCCGCTAACACCCTGATTTTGGGCTTCTGCTCTCCAGAACTGTGAGACAATACATTTTGGTTGTTTAAGCAACCCATTTGTGGCACTTTGTTACGGCAGCATAGCAAATTAATACACAGGGTGACTCACTCAACTGGGGAAAACAATGTAGAACAGAGATAGTATCTTCCAGGGATACACAACATACAGTGGAAAAGAAACTCAAGTACTCAGCCATCACACGGTAACTAAGAGGGGAAGACAATGATTTGGGATATGGCAGAAAGTCAAGACCCGTCATTTCCTCTGCACACACCTCACCTCCTCACCACTATGTGTCCTGCCTGGGGCCATCACAAGTGGTTTCAGGTCAGTCTCCACAAGCAGCCAGCTCCCAGGTCCTGCTGTATTCCCTGGGCTGCCTCCAGAAAGCTCTGCACAATGACTTCTTTCACACCATCTCCTACCTCTCCCTGTCTCCTGGAGCACCTTCCCTGGACAAATCTCCACTCCGCTCAACCGCTCCCATAACTGCTGTCCTTACCGGCTTGCTGGCTCTCCCCGGATGCCACGGCTGCCCCTGCAGACCTCTTGTGCTCCTGGCAGTCAGGCTGGGGTAGGTGACTCCCCTGCTCCTTGCAGGCTGCTGCTACCCGCCCCTAGAAAGCATTCACCCTCCTCACTGGGACTTTCTCATCAGTATACACCATCTCATCAGGCTGCTATTGGTTTTTTCATCGGAAAAAACATTCTCTTGATCATAATTCTCCTCCTTGTGAGTGCTCCATTTCCCTTCTTTGCTTAAAGCATGATCTTCTTGAAATGGCTGCATTCTATAACCTAATATGCATGCCTCTCCGTGCGTCCAGTGCACTCCCTGGTGCTGAAGCCAACAGTCCCTTCCTGGCCCTCACCTCGCTGTCTCGGCTATCAAATACCATCTGAGACTGAATCACTCTCACCCCTCCAGGATTCTTCTTCCCTCTGCGCTTTCCGTGCAGCTCACTCTCCTAAGTACTTCTGCCATCTCTCAGCGGCTCGTCCTGTTTTTTCCACCGAGTCCTTTACATCTCTCTGCCTCTAAGCACCAGCGTGCCCGAGCCGCTTCTCCAGCTACCCCCACATCCACTGACCTCGGCTGGTCTCACAGCTTTAAACATCACCTGTATGATGATGACATCCCAATTTATCTTTAGATCTTAGCCCAGACCATTCCCCTGATCAAACTCCTGTATATCCAACTGTCAAGCAGAAATCTCTGTTTATACTAAGTGCTAAAACTTAACTGACCAAACTGAGCTCCTGACCCTCAGCACATACCCTGTTTTTCTTGCACTCTTCCCCTCTCAGCCAATGGCAACTCTTTTCCCAGGTGCTCAAGCCAAACACCTTGGCATTGATTCCTTGACTCTTCTCCTTACCCTACCTACACTGTCCGCCTCCTTCAAAATACAATCAGAATCTTGCTTACATATGGAATTTAAACAACAGTAACAACAAAAATAAACAAAAAAACCCCAAACTCATAAAAAAAGGGATCAGACTGCCTGGTTGGGAAACAAATCTGCCCTCTGTGTTGGAGGCAGACACGATCTCCATCCTTCCAAGATTTTCTGCTATGCAAGCATTCTTGAAGTGAGAGTCTGAGGCAATGGCTGCTAGAAAATGTGCATAAACATCACAGAGAATAGCCTGCCAACACCAGGAACTAATGGGACGAGGGGAAAATAGCTAGCAAGGTGGTGGATTTTAATCCAGCCATATCGATCATCACATTAAGCTGATCAGATTAAACAAAGCAGTTAAAAGACAGGCCCTCAAACTGCATAAGAAAACAAGATCCAACCGTGTTGTCAGAAAGCCAATTTAAAGATGTTGGTAGGTTAAAAACAAGAGTGGGGAAAAGATGTACCATACAAACAAGAACTAACCACAAACAAGTAGGAGGAGCCACACTAAAGAAAGTAGGTTTTAGAACAAGGGACATTAGTCCAGATAATGAGGGATACTGCTGAGAAGCTGGAGGCTTGAATGTTCAATAAAGTGCAGAGGCAGATGATAATTATTTGTCTAGTAATCATTCAAATGCTACAAAACATTTCCAGCAATTTCTTTAAAATTAAATAGCACAGAATGGGATGTAAGTTCTTACCCTGTAATAATGTAGAATTGCTTTTCATTAAGAATTAAGGTTAAAACAGGCCTACTTTCAAATCACTAGTCACCAAATTTGCTGATTTGTAACTCCAATTAATCTTAAGGGATGACAAATTTTAAAAAATATTATTTTTCAAAAGCATCCATAAGAAGTTACAATTAAAAACACACTGTGTATTACCTATTTTTTTCACAACAGAAACTACAAATCCTATTAGGTCCACCTCAGAACAAGGTGGTTGGAAGTCTGGATCCAATAGTTTGTTGAAGTAAAGGGGCTCCCTCGGCTGATAAACTTGGAATAGGATTTCATCTGAAGCCTATGAGGGAAAAAAAAAATCAGTGTATGCAGATTCTATAAACTAATATGCATTCATCAAAATTAAAAACTCTAATGAAAAGTTTGTACCGGTAGTTGCTGATACTGGGTTTTCTTTGTTGCTGTTAGCTGTATATTAGCTTTTTCAGATTTACTTTTAGATTGTGACGTTGCAAGATAATAGATTCTGTATCTCTTTCCTTCTGTTAACAGGGAATATAAATCTGATGATGGACGCCAGATACTCAGTGTAACTAGATAAAGAGGAGAAAGATATAATGGAAGAACTGATAAGCATTACAATTCTTGTAAAACAAATACCGTAACAACAAAGATCTAAGGATTATAGCATTGTTTTGAGGGTAGTGGTAGCCCAGTTTTACTCCTCTGATACAAGTTCACTTTATACTTTATCTAGCATTTGAACTCATTTTATTAATGTAGTACTTTAACTTATAAAATTTACATACTGACCTGAATCTCTTTCTTTTTTCCCATAGCTTATGATACGCAATTTCCACACGGTTGTAACATTCCTTGATAAAATTTGTTCTCCTTGCTCAGCAGATTCCATAGCCTTCCTGAATTCCAACTGGATCTGTGCTTGCTTCTTATCATTCAACATCTGTCTGTGATTATTCAAGGCTCTTAACTGCTCTTCACTAAAGTAACCCTATGATCATTTAATATATTAAGGCAAATGATACTAGAATAAAAAGCAAACAAAAAAAACCCTCATCCATTGTAAAAGCATCCCTTTAAATGGGGATAAAATACAACAGAATTCGAGTTCACTTTAACAACATGACAATATAAAAATTGAGACTAATTACTCAGCTCATCACATAACAAATATTTTCAGGTGCCTTAAACTGTTCACTTATCTTTGTGACAAATTTCCCGAGAGTCAAGACAACCCCCTACTTATAAATGTACTCTAA